CCATGGCGGGACTCGGACCTCCATCCGGGGACTTCACCTACATTCGGGGCCCTGACCTCAAATCTGGGCCCGGGACATCTATCCCGTGGCCCAGACCTCCATGATGGGGCCTACACCCCTACCCGGGATCCAGACCCCGATCTTGGGGCCCAGACCTCCATCCCAGGATCAGAACTTAATTCGGGGCCGAGAACTTCATGGCAGGAACCCTATTTCCATGGCGGGATAAGGACCTCCATCCGGGACCTTGACCACATTTGGGACCCTGACCTCAATCCTGGGGCTCAAATCTCTATCGCAGAGCCCTGACTCCCATTCCCGGGCCAGACAACAATCCCAGGACCAGACCTTCATGGCAGGACCCCTATTTCCATGGCAGGACTCAGACCTCCATCCAGGGCCTTGACCTACATCCGGGGTCTTGACCTCCATCTGGTTCCCTGACCTCAATCCTGGGGCCTGGATCTCTATCATGGGGCCCAGACCTCCATCCCAGGACACAGACCCCCATCCCGGACACCAGAAACCAATCCCAGGATCAGACCTTACTTTGGGGCCCTGACCTTCATGGCAGGATCCCTATTTCCATGGCGGAACTCGGACCTCCATCCGGGGACTTCACCTACATCCGGGGCCCTGACCTCAAACCTGGGCCCGGGACATCTATCCTGTGGCCCAGACCTCCATGTTGGGGCCTACACTTTTATCCCAGAATCCAGGCCCCGATCCTGAGGCACAGACATCCATCCCAGGATCAGACCTTAATTCGGGGCCCAGACCTTCATGGCAGGACCCCTATTTCCTTGGCAGGACTCTGACCTCCATCCGGGGTCTTGACCTACATCCGGGACCCTGACCTCAATCCTGGGTCCTGAAAATCTATCACGGGGCACAGACCTCCATGCTGGGGCCTACACCCCTACCCGGGATCCAGACCCTGCTCCTGGGCCTAGACCTCCATCCCAGGAGCAGACCTTACCTCGGGGCCCTGACCTTCATGGCAGGACCCCTATTTCCACAGTGGGACTCGGAACTCCCTCCAAGGCCTGACTTCTTTTTTTTGAATTGGTTTTATTTAATCTTACAGAAACCTGACTGGAGTTTGGTATGTAGTTATAAGTCCAGTAACAATTCTACAAAAATGGACATACAATGCTGGAATTCCTTCAAAGCAACAATATCATAGTCTTTTGCATAAAACATGCATTAACTGCCACATGTTGGCCAAAATCTGTCTCCCCGAGAAGAGACGGTCCAATGCAGTCAAGAAAACTAGCTATGAACAACAGGTACAAAAGGAGGTGTTCTGGTTAGTGTAAAAGGAGGAACAGTACCTTTCAGAGATAGGTACTATCTGCCCTTTGTCATAAAGGGCTGACAAGCCCTTCAGCACTGGGGGATTTGTACTGTGTTGCAATGTAATGCGTCACCTCAGACCTGGTCTTGACCTGTCAGAAGGAGGAACATTCTGTTAGTTACACATTTGAGAAGATATAAACTTGCAGGCCACAATGGTCCACTACTTGTGCAACCTTGCAGAGGGGGCGCAGAAATCCTGACTTGGAAGAGTTTCCTAGCTGGGGTTGTAAACAAACTCAAAAACACTCTGAGCTTTCCAACCTAGTCTTTCACCCTTTTCTACAAGGCCAGCCCCGGGCACACAGCATCTCCGTGGCCATAAGACCTCCAGCTCCACACCACTCTTCATGAGGATCTGTAATTGGGTGTGATCAGAGAAACATGGGATGGATCATTTCTTTGAGGCCTTGACTTTCTGTAGTTCTCATTCACCGCATCCAGGGATCAGTGGACACTCGTCTACATGGCTGCTGAACACACAAAGGGATATTAATAAACACTTGTGGCCCCAAAGCCTCAAATGCTTGTAGTCACATAACTCAAAGTTTGTCATCTATTGTCAGGACAGACTTTGTTCCTCCAGAGCAGGGGTGGGGAACCTTTTTTCTGCCACGGGCCATTTGGGTATTTATAACATTATTCACAGGCCATACAAAATTATCAACTTAAAAATTAGCCTGGTGTAGTTGGTCAAACATTTAATTAGCTTACCCCTAATGCCTTGGCAGGGCCAGACCCAATGATTTCCATGGGCCTTATATGACCCAGGCCAGACGTTGCCCAGCCCTGCTCCAGGGGGAGCAACTCCATTTATCAAAGGGTGTTTTCCCCATAGACTGAAGGGCTTTAAAGAGATTTCAAACCAACTGAAAGGACCTCCCTTCCAATACGGGGTTTTATACAGCATTCCTTGAGGTTCTTCAAAAGATCTTAGTCATTAGGGAACCAGTTGTGGGCATTAACACTTACATACATAAAGCTCATCATTCGCGCAGCCTAGGGAGTCTGCCTCTCCCACAAAAGGGCTCTCTCTGCCCTGCTCACAAGTAAGCTTAAGCCAGTATCTTTTCCTTCAGCACAAGTTAAGGGGGGAAATAATTTATTAGGGTTCTAATAACATTTTCATAACAGAACAATATCAAAATAGGTTTGTTTTTAATATATGCTTACGAATATCCCTGATAATATAAAGAAATCCAGAGGACTTTGTAAACCACCGAGATGTCACAGGGTAGCGCCCGGTCTGGTTTCTAGGCAGCAGGAGAGGGACTACTGTATGGCATGTTTTCTCCAGGAAGCCCTGTGAGCGCCACAGTTCTGAAATTCTAACATGCTAGTGCCAGCAGAATTGTGAATGACATTTTCACTTTAAATTTATTAGTAAAATTCCTATCAAAGGTTGGCTTCCTCAATCCTGCCATCAGCCAATCTCCCTGCCTATAACAGGCCACAAAACCATCAATCCTGGCCACCCCAGAGGTTGAGCCCAGAGGAAACAAGTTGTGAGATCCCTTGTAAGCCGTGACCCAACCTCAGAAAGCAGGGATGTGGGAGAAGAAGCAGACCAGGCTTGAGGAAGCTTTGACCCAAGGCACCATGATCACAGGGGTGAGGGGACCTAGAGAGGTTCTAGCTGCAGGAAGATGCCCCCAAAGCAGGTCCTGGAAGACAACAGCTCTGTGGCAGAGTAGACACATTTGGGAGTTAAAGACCAAAAAAATTAGAAAAGAAACTAGTTTACTCTCTCAAAACCAAATCAAACTTCTTAAAACTTATAAGGCCTAACCAGTTTGGCTCAGTGGATAGAGCGTCGGCCTGCGGACTGAAGGGTCCCAGGTTGGATTCCGGTGAAGGGCATATACCTTGGTTGCGGGCACATCCCCAGTAGGGAGTGTGCAGGAGGCAGCTGATCCATGTTCCTCTCTCATCAATGTTTCTAACTATCTGTCTCCCTTCCTCTCTGTAAAAATCAATAAAATATATTTTTTAAAAAACAAACTTATAAGCAAATAACCCTGGATAGACTGGGGGTGTGGTGGGGGCTGAAGTCTGTGGAATGAGTTGCTTTTAGCTGAGTCAGAAAGAATGCTGGTTGTGAAATCAGCATAAACACTGTAGCTACTGCAGTTAAGGAGAGTGAAGGAAGCTTAAGGTCAGAGGAGGCCTCTTCAAAGAGAGGATGGAAGAGGAACAAATGTGAAATATGCCTCTTTTATTCCTGGATCATTAAGTGGCATTTCCACGGCCTGGCTGAGAAGACGCCTGGCTGAAAAGGAGCCGTACTCCAGTCTAGCTGCAATAATACTGCATCCCATCCACCCTTCTTCTCTTTTTGGACTGAAACTCTTCAAAGAACTGCTGGATGTCCTCTCTCTTTACAACCGTGCCTTCATCAGCAAATCTCTTCAGATAGTCTTTAAGTTCAGTCTTCAAGTCATTATATTCACAAATGAGTTCCACTTGCTGGACTCTGTTCATGCTGCTAAGGGTGTCCATTAAAGGATCTGTCCTGCCAGCCGCCTGGTCAACCTTGCCCTTGTTTTCATAAGCCAGAACTGTGTCATATTCATCTGTCAGGAACAGGACATCTAGATCGCCATACATTTTCATACAGTCTTTGCAGGTACATAACTTGCTATGCCAGTTCAGGGGCCAAAAGGTGGCAGTGTCTTTCTTTATAAAATGCTTAGCTTTAAGCTCCTAAAGTTTGCAGCCAGTCTGTGATTCTGTATTGAGATGTTGATTCTTAAACACTGTCTGGAGATCAGACTCAGAACTAGAGCTGGCACATGGTTCATTAGTCTGCTCTGCTTTAACTGTCTTGACAGCATCCTTTGCATGTTCTGGAACATCCTCTTTGAGGGGACTATCATGATGATCTCCATTTTCAGGTTTGGTAACTTCCTCATCACCAATTCCATCGACATTCAGCACCAACCCATCATCCTCAGCAGATACTTTGGCTACTGCCAATTGTGCAGCGTAAGCCCACAAGAAAGAGCAGTGCTTCATACAGGCCTGGCACACCATCTCCTGGAAATCCCCACTCTCGGGGGGCATGGCACCAAGATGCCTTACATGGAACCAGTCTTCACAGACTACGCACTGGATCATCTCATCTGGAATCTCATCATCAGAATCAGGATAAGGTCTCTTACAAATGCAATACAATCCAAAAAAGTTGTCATTATACTTATTGCCAGAATTTATCTTTGCTTTGTCAGGAAATAATTTGCATTCCAAATTTTTAAACTTGCTGTTTCCACAATCACAATGAAAATTCCTTTTTGTATATAGCTCAAATAGTTTATGACTTCCATGACTCATAACTGCAAGCTAGGCAAATTCCTGCTGGTTCTTCTCCCTTGGGGGTGCAGGTACCACAGGCATATAGTGCTTGTCTCTTTACGGAGCCCTGCGAGTAGGAGCACTTCTCGGAGTCGCTGCCACCCAGGACGGCACACGCCTCCTTCTCCAACTCCTCGTCCTCCTCCAGGACGTCGACCAGCGACACCACGGGCTCCTCCGCTCGGGCCATCCTCAACTGTCACCCCGCTGCAGCTCTGCGCTGGTGGTGGCGGGAAAAGCAGCAGCAGGAGGCGTGGCCGGAGGAGCCACGGCCTGACTCTTCTATGGCAGGATCTAAAAGGCCATGGCAGGACTCCCACCTTCCAGTAATGATCAACATAATTTGATGAACAAGAACAGATCCAGAGACAAATGTCTGGGGAGGGCTGTTTAGAGAGCAACCAAAGGACTTGTATGCGTGCATATTAGCATAACCAATGGACACAGACACTGGGGCAGTGGGGGCTTGCCCTGGGGTGGGAATGGTTTGTGGGGGGGGGGTCAAATGGGGGGTGGGGGGAAAGGAGACATGTAAAATTTTAGATAAGAAAGAAAGAAAGAGCCTTAACTGGTTTGGCTCAGTGGATAGAGCGTCGGCCTGCGGACTCAAGGGTCCCAGGTTCGATTCTGGTCAAGGGCATGTACCTTGGTTTCGGGCACATACCCAGTAGGGAGTGTGCAAGAGGCAACGGATCAATGTTTCTCTCTCATCGATGTTTTTAACTCTCTATCCCTCTCCCTTCCTCTCTGTAAAAAATCAATAAAATATATTTTTTTTAAAAAAGAAAGAAAGATAAAATAAAAACAAGTTGATCAATTAAAAGAAACAATAATAAATATTTTTAAAAAGAAAAAAAATGTATTAACTTATCAGGGAGTAGTTGTTGAAGCCCCAGAAACTCAGAAAGACACTAGAACTGGTCTAGAATGGAAATGGGTTCACAGATCCCTTGCACAGCAGAGAACTGGAATTAGATTTCCTGCAAAAAGTCAGGAACCAGGAAAGAGCTGGCCCACCCTTGATTGGGGGGTAGAAAAACACCTTTAACCTTTGAGACATGACCCCAAAGTGTCCTAGACCATAGAAGAAAGAGGAGAAAGAAGGCCACTTTAGTAACTGTTCAAAATCCCAAACCCAAGTAGCAAAAGGTGAGGACCCAAATCTGCCCTTTAGAATGGTGTGGAAACCTAGGACCAATAAATAACAACAAAAACAAAAAATGCTCTGAACCTTGTGACTCAATAGGGCCCAGCAAGGCCATCAGGACACTGCCCCTTCATAATCCAGGACACATGCAAGACTCCCATGAAAACAAAACTTTCCAATAGATGAGTTCACAATCAATTTTTACAGAGAACTAACAACCACTACAATCAATAGCCAGCTGACATAACAAATGGGACAATTCACACTTTAAGAACCAAAAATAATAGAGTAATCTGAATGTAACTTTAAAATAAGTATGTCTTTAAATCCAGGGGAATTTTGTATCAAAAAAAAAAAGAAGATTGGAAGAATGTTTTTGCCTTGGATTCCTCTGAAAATTACAAGGTGTTATTTTAAGGCATCATCCACAATATACAAAAACAAAGAAATAGAAGAGAAAATAAAAAGAGATGTTTTAATGGAAGTCAAAAAGTAGATGTAAAGTGGTAACTGAGTTATCAGACCAGAAGAAAAGACACTGAGACATTGAAAGGAGCTGGAAAAAATCTTAAAAAAACAACAACATCATATCTTCAGAAAGATCAGAGAAAATGCTACCAGATCAAATCCATGAGGCAAGAAAAAGGTGCTATGAAAAGAAACATTAAGGAACAGAAAAAAAAGCCCATTAGAAATTTAAAATTGGACAGCAGAAATTTTCAATTCCAGTAAAATTAAGGGTAACTTCATGGAAAGTAGAAAGATGAAGGTATTGAAAAATAGGCAGGAAGTGATAAGAATATTAGAGAATCAATTTGGGGACTCAACACCCAGATAAAAGAAATCCTAGAAAAAAAATGAATAGTGAAAACGAAGGGTGGAAAAGTAGCAAATAATACAAGAAAATTTCAGAGAACCTGAGTTTCCAAATTAAAAGGATTCACCAGGTGCCCAGCAAAATGAATGAGAAAAGAAAAAAACCACCAAGACACATTAATATGCATTATAAGACTGGAAAGATAAAGAGAATATCCTAAAAGCTTCTAAGAGGAAATTCAGCCATTTACAATAGATCAAGAATTAGTAAAACATCAGAAATCCAGCAACTGTAAAAAATAGAAGAAATTAAGAAGAGCCTGCAAAATTCTGAAGGAAAATAAATTCCAACCTAGAATTCAGAACTCAGCCAAATACCAATGCAGTATGAGAGTAGAATGAAGGCTTTTTGGAAATTTAAGTTCTCTAAAATGTTATCTCCTATATATACTTCCCTCAGCAAAATCCAGTAATACAGCAAAATAAGGGGCTAAACTAAAAGAATGCTAGCTAACATTTATATAGTACCTATTGTATCTAGGCTTCTTTTATGTGTCTGTGTGTATGTGTGTACTCATTTAATTAAATCCTCATAGGAATTAGCAGAACATTATTATTATTATCCACATTTTACAAAGTGGTAAAGAAAGATTGAGTAATCTGCCCTTTGTCACAAAGCCTGTAAGCAGCAGTTCGGCTCCAGAGCCCATACCTTTAAATAACGGGGAAGATTTAACACCCATTCATTAAAGGAACTTCCTGGACCTGATAAAGCAGCTCTATGAGACTGACTAAAATTGTACACCTATGGATGAGGACATTGGGGGGTAGCAGAACATTATTATTATTATCCACATTTTACAAAGTGGTAAAGAAAGATTGAGTAATCTGCCCTTTGTCACAAAGCCTGTAAGCAGCAGTTCGGCTCCAGAGCCCATACCTTTAAATAACGGGGAAGATTTAACACCCATTCATAAAAGGAACTTCCTGGACCTGATAAAGCAGCTCTATGAGACTGACAAAAATTGTACACCTATGGATGAGGACATTGGGGGGCGGGGGGAGGGAGTTAAGGGCAGAGGGTGGGGTGGGAACTGGGTGGAGGGGAGCTATCGGGGGAAAAAGAGGAACAGCTGTAATAATCTGAACAATAAAGATTTTTTTTAAAGCAGCTCTATGAAAAATCTTTAGCTTACATCAAGTATGTCAAACTCAAAGGCTAACATGGGCCAAATAAACAAGGCATGTGGCCCACGGGCTGCAAGTTTAACATGCTTGGCTTACATCATCTTTATAGAGAAAGGTTAAATGCTTTATCCCTAAAAATCAGAATAGGGTAAGAATGCCCACTCTCACAACTTCTGTTCAGCATGGTAGTAGAGATCCTAGCCAGTGAAATAAGGCAAAAAAAAGAAATAAGAGGCATAAAGAAAAGGAAGAAATAAACTGCTTTGTTCTCAGATGTCATGATTGTTTTAAATGTAAAATCCAAAAGAATCTCTAAAAATAAAACTACTAGAACTAACAACTGAATTTACTAAGGTCCCAGAGTATATATACAACTCAATTATATGTCTATATACCAGTAAGAAAAAAACTGGAGAAAAAGATCACACACAAAAATAATATTTTTTAAAATACCATTTATAACAGCATCCAAATAACCATAAAATAAATACTTAGGGATAAATTTAACAAAACAGATCCAAAAGCTATGTACTCGAAACTCTAAAATTAGAAAATAGATAAATTAGAAAATCTTACATAACAAAACCCTAATACGCAAGTCGACCGAACTGCAGAACGACCAGTCACTATGACACACACTGACCACCAGAGGGAAAACGTTCAATGCAGGAGCTGCCTCCTGGTGGTCAGTGCGCTACCACAGGGGGAGCGCTGCTCAGCCAGAAGACGGGCTCACAGCTGGCGAGTGTAGTGGCAATGGTGGGAGCCTCTCCTGCCTCTGCAGCAGCACTAAGGACCCCTTGGGGTCCTGGACTGCAAGAGTGCGCAGGCCAGGCTGAGGGACCCCCCACCCCCATGCACAAATATCATGCACTGGGACTCTAGTATCTAAATAATTGAAGAAAGACACTATGCTCATGAATAGGAAGACTCAATATTGTTGAGATATCAATTTTATCCAATTGATCTATAAAATCAACATAACCCTAAACGAAATCCCAGTAGGATATTTTGTAGAAATTGACAAGCAATTTTAAATTATCTGGAGATGTAGTTAAAGCAACTTAGAAAAAAAGGAGCAAGCCAAAACAGTAATCTGTCCAGATTGCAACAGGACTATGAAGAAGAGAGGAATAAAATCCAGATTATCATTATTTTTGCTGGAACTAGTAAGAATCGTCCTCAGATAGGGTGGCAAGGGATGGTGAGGGGGCTGTGGTTAGTCAGAAGCGAATCTAGTATACAGGAAAGCAGTATATTTCAACAAAATTACTTGGAGGTTGGAAAAAAATTGTAATATATTTTTATTGATTTCAGAAAGAAAGGGAGGGGGGAGAGAGAGAGGAAAAAAAACATCTTTACTAATAAAAGGGTAATATGCTAATTAGACCAGACATCTTCCGGACGTCCTTCTGGACAAAGCCACGGTGGCGGGGGCCAAGGCAGAGGCGGTTAGGGGTGACCAGGCCGGCAGGGGAGAGTGGTTAGGGGAGACCAGGCTGGCAGGGGAGAGTGGTTAGGGGTGACCAGGCAGGCAGGCAGGTGAGCAGTTAGGAGCCAGTGGTCCTGGACTGTGAGAGGGATGTCCGACTGCCGGTTTAGGCCTGATCCCCGGGATTGGGCCTAAACTGGCAGTTGGACATCCCCTGAGGGGTCCTGGATTGGAGAGGGTGCAGGCCAGGCTGAGGGACCTCGCACCCCACCCCACGCCCATGCACAAATTTCATGCACCAGGCCTCTAGTCAATGATAAGAATCATTGATCGGCTGCCTCCTGCATGCCCCCCTACTGGGGATCGAGCTCACAACCCAGGCATGTTCTCTTGACCAGAATCAAACCCCGAACCCTTCAGTCTGCAAGCCGACATTCTATCCACTGAGCCAAACCAACTAGGTCTGGGGCTGGAACATTTTAACCAAGTCTTCAAAGCCAATTTTCAGTTTTTCAAAATTAGCAAGCATTGTGCAAAACATCCATTCACATCCCAACCCCTGTCCCCAACAAACCCTATCCTCTGATATTCACCTGTCCTTAACCCC